GGAAGGTGGGCAAATGTTCACTAGCAGTTGTTGGCAAAGAAACACAGCAGGATTTAAACTGGATGATGCCACTGCATGTGTAAAACAACCATTTGAGCAAATGCTTCTAGTAGCATCCTCAACCAGTAAAACAGAATTTGCTGTTAACCTTTTGCTTCCTAGCTAGCTGCACTGATGAGTTTCGATTAATTGTAGTCATGCTCCATTTAAAAACAAAAAACAAAACCAAAATAAATAAAACCACAACAAAACCAAAACAAGCTATTGATAAAAACATACAATAAATGCTTGCAGGAGTTCCTGCGACAGGCTTTCAGGCTGGTCATACGTGGTCACATACAACAAAAATAAATTGCAAAAGCCAAATGAAAGTAAGATTCTGTTGCATTCTGGTAAAACGCACCATGTCTTTTTCACAAGGTTATTTTTCCCATGATCTCCCTTCTCTTCCTTTCCAGCTTGCGCAGCCTGGTGTTTAGTTGATGTACCCCAGCCCCAGATGTTTCACGGTTTAAAGCATAGTTGTTTTATAGCATTCTAGGACTGTTATGAATGAGGAAGACCATAACAGTGATTTGCCATGCTTATCCACTATTTAAAAGCTAGATCTCAATCACCTACTGTGTCATCAAAATAACTGGTCAGCACCATCCCGATAACCGTTTTTCCCCAGGCTCTCAGGTTTCCTTGCTTCTGATAACTGTTCATACAGACCATGAGAGCTCCCCCTCCTTCAAACTGAGCTCTATCATTCCTTAAAGCTATCAGTTTTGTATCTGAAAAAAAAAAACAACCTAGAAATATCAGCTAACAATGCACCCAATGTTAGGAACAGGAATTAACTTTTTCCTGCCCTTCCTTGAAGAGCATGGGAAAAGATGCATCACATAGCCAACCACAATTCTTATATGCTTAGTTACTGCAATTTGCAAGGACATGTTTAATTGAAGAAATTGCTTTTCAATAATACCTACCTGGAGCACTTAACTGAAGCAGGGCTCCCCGAACAGGAAATGTATGCAGAAGCATTTTGTATGCATATTATCTCCTCAGATGTCCTAGCTGTCCAGCAACTACTAAGCACAGGATGTTTGTTATCTGCACTCTTTTTGTTGGGTTAGTTCCTCCATCCCACATTTAGATCATGTGTATTAGCGCTGGATCAAGTACCTCAAATAAGGAAATGGTAAAAGCTTGGAGAGCCAGTAAAAAGCTTAACAGGAGGCTGTGCAGAAGTGCAGTGCTAAATGGCAAGCCAAGCAGATGCATCAGAAAATTCCTTTTCTAAAAGTTCTTTTATCAGTTCACTTCAACTCAGCTGATGAGCTGCACTAGGTGGAATATTGAACAGCTCCAGCCTTACAGACTCAAAAAATCATATACTTGAAAATCAGGGGGATGGGATGCAGCAGGATGGTAACACTCGTAGCCACGCTCCCTCTTAGAGGGCAGCTCTTTGTAGAATTGCCATCATCCTCCCCACATTGCCTGAGTGCCACCTGACCCTACCAAACCCACAAAGCTACCAGGATAGCGACGGTGGTGGATATTACAGAGACAGGGCTGCTGCAGAGTGAAGCTCTATTCCACTTACCTGTACACAGAACACACGCACATGCTCAAAAGATTTATCCTCTTGGATGGGAGATATACATAGGATAGTGGATTCTGTGAAGAGGCAGTGTAGTAAGAAACATGCCTTTTGGGAAGACACTTGGAAACGGTACAGTGGAATGCAGAAGGAGAGTACAGCTGTGGACAGTTTTTCACTTTCATGTAGCAAAAACATTTTTTATTCCTTCCAATTTTTTGTGATAACAAAAAAGTTTTGGAGCACAAAGATCAGAAGCAAAACTGAGCTTGACAGAGCCAGCCGCTCCACTGGGACCTGGCAGGAGAGCATGAAACACTTCCTCCAGGGAGACCTTTGCATTTCATTTTAGCCGTGCATCCAAGCTTAGGTCGGCAAAGGATCAGAAGAACCATAAAGTTTCAAAATTGCATCCTTTACACGGAGACAAGCTGGGAAAATATTTGTTGAGCAATGAAGTACATTCTCCTTCTGTATCTGCACAATCTTGCATTGCATGAATCTCAGCTGGGTAAAATAGGCCTCAGAACTGAACCTCAAGCCTTCAAAAAACATGAGGCAAATCCCCAGTCACAGGGATTTTGCTTAAATACAAATCTGTATTTGGGTCTGGATTCTTGAGCTTTATGGTTCAAGTCTGTTCTCTCACTATAACTCTGAAGTTTGGGTTTCATTCTATTGTGTTTATTTTTTCAGTTCTATTCTCATGACTTTGAAAGCTTTCTAAAGGTCAGACCAAGAGAAGTACCAGATATTGCCACAATTGCCTGCAGTGCAATGCTAGCATTTCATATTGCTTTAAAGCTTTCCAAAACCATCTCTTAGTTTTACAGACTGTGGTTACAGGTGCGAGTTAGGTTTCAGAAGGAACAGAAAATGAGACAAACCCTTTGGCATTAGACATGGTGCAGGCTCCGGGTGGTGTGATGAAAGAGCTGTACTACTGCCGAAGCACTACCACAGCTCCTGGCTCTAGAGTAGCAGCATCCGCTCTCAGACACAGCTATTGTGCATTTGGGGCAGGTTGCTTAGCCTTGTATTTATTTAATCTTTGTGAAGATAAAGCGGGATGCTCCACTGAGAGCTCTTTTGTTTCAATGTGTATCAGTTCAATAGGAGGGAGAACAGATCTAAAGCCACCAGCAACAGTTTGTATACTTTGCAAGTCTTCTAAAGCCTTGGCACCATATGCTGTATTATGTTGTCTTTTTTCCTGAGTGACCATTGCTCTGTTGTACACTATCTGCCTTTTTGTGACTTGATGAACCACATTGTAAAAGGTAGAAATCAATAACAATCTCCAGAAACCAAAACCACTGAGGGAAAAAGATTTTCCTGCAGCACCATCTTGTGGTCCCTGATTTTAGTACTGAAGGTGTCTCTCCGTGGGACTGAGGGTGGAAGGTTTCTGCTTTGTGGACTTGGGAACAGCACCCAGCTGTGAGCAGCTTCTCTCAGTATCCACAAAGGCACTGTGAGAAGCCTTATAAGAATGCTTGTGCCTTCTTGCAGCTGACCTGGGGCCGTAACTGAGATCTTTGAAGGGATGGAAAGGACAAAGGAAAATTGAGTTTGGCTCAGCAACATGCAGTTTGGTAGAGAAGATACACACCAGCAGTTTAAGCACTGGGGAGACTACATGCTCCAGGTAGATGTGGGGTAATGCCATGCTCAAATTGTTCTGTAGTATGCTAAAGTGCAGGATTAAGAAAAATAAACCAAATATTATGAAAGGGATCTGGATCAAAACATCCACATTTATGTGAATCTCAGTACAGTTAGCATCACAAACAGGCCTGTGAATGAATATCTGTGATTTGATCCCAAGGTGATAATCTTGACCTGCAATCATAATGAAACAGCTATTACAACATCTGAGGCACAGATAGCAGTTATTTATGCAGTATGCATGCCTGACAGCTGTTGATTCAAGGAACTGTCTAGCTACTATAGAAATTAAAATTTAAAATCAGAGCTTTTGTCTTCTCCAACTGAAAAGCAAGACTTCCAGCTTTTTAGAATATCTTTATAACAAAACTGCTACATGGAAAAGGGACAGGGCCCAAGTCCACGCACAATGCTCTTGACTACTGTCTCACTAGGGGAAATATAAACTCTCGCTTTTCCTTCTCCTCTTACAGTGCATATATTTTGCTTATGCTCATCGTGTTCTGGTGCTGCCAGATACAGTTACTGCAGATGCATTGATTGCTTATTGTTAAATACCGTTGTTTTACCAGTATGCATCCCTTTGTCAGAATGTTATGTGACACTGAAAGCAGTTGTGCTGTCAATGACACGGAAACAGAAGGAATTTATTACCCTTCAAATCAAAATCATGAAGCACCATATGAAAGCCTAACTTTCTCCAGAGCACAAAATTCTCTCCATAATCACTATCAGGCATGAGGATCTGTGTGGTTTGTAACATGCACATTTCAGTTGTGACAGTGCCCCTAAATTCATGTAGCAGGAAACTGGTTTTATCTGTGTCAAAATGTCTATATGCATACTTCACTACTCCTAAAAGTAGTATCAAGGAACAGTAAATACATATCAGACTTGGAAGGCAAACAGAGCCCTATTCAGCTTCCATCATTCTGCTGCTCCACATTAAAAACATCGTAATACATGTGCTTCCAAAATTATAACCAAATTATTTGTCATGCTACTGTCAATGGTTGCAATATCGGGCTTTAAAGCTCCTGCATATAGCTATGTCTGATCATCAGTAAGTATTCCGACAACTATATGAGACTGCCCATGCGCATATTCCACCCATATTATGCTTGGATTTTAAGTGATGCTTCATCAGTCCCCAAAAATAGCAAAGAAAAAAATTCATTTAATGGGGAATCCTGGAAGTACACAGAGCTTCAAAGAGTCACTCATTTTATTTAAGCTCCACCTTAGGAGCACAGCTCCATTCCTCCCAGTTGTAGCTCTTGGAAACTCCGCTACATGGAGTTCAGAGACCCAAAGAAAAATTACCAGTGATTGCATTATTATGGGCAACACTGATTTCAACTGACATTCTTTTAGATGCTCATTTTTATTTTGCATCCATCTGCTGAGAACTGTTACATGTTTGTTTCTGTTATTTTTGTTACACTACAGGGAAACTGAGAGAAATTGCATTTGGAAATCACCTACCTTGGGAGGCAGGCCATTCAAAGCTCACAAAGTCTTGAGGTGCAGTGATATACCATGTAGAGAAACAGTGCCAGAGAAAACACTAACGGTTTCCTTGAGTACTTTGTATTTTTGCCAGATGTACCTTTAAAGCAACTGCCCAACAATGGGATTCCCACGTCCTCTGCAGCCTGGTAGCGAATTAGCCATTCTCCTCAGCAAGAGTAGCACTACTGTGCTATGGTGCCACCCAATACAGATGAGTGAAACAGTAAGATTGCCACTTGCTACCAATTTAATGAATGACAACATTCTCCTCTTAATCCAGATACTAGTCTAAGACTGACCACTAAATGGAAACGGGCAATTAACTGGTATTTTTATCTCCCTCCACTGTGATGCGGTATCAATTAGACAAAATAGGCTTTATTATTCACGACTTTCACGAGCAGTTTTGCTTTTCAGTGTTATTAGCTTTTTTTGTACAGGAGATAAAGAATAAACATACAAGAATTAAAAATTAAGACCTTCTCTTGCAAAATCAATAGTGTTATCAAGGGTTGACAACATTGTATTACTTTGATACTAAGCCAAAACATCTTTCCTAGGACATACTCAAGTAATCCTGTTGTCCTGCTTGAGATCTTCAAGATCAGCTGGATGTTCCTCTACAACAAAGTGGATAAAAACCCCTATTACCAAACATCATTGTAACTACGTTTAGTGACATTTTACATTTTTGTCAAATAAATACTCTTCCCAAAATATTTTCTTATTGTATAATGACCTCATTGACATTTTCTTATTTCATTGTTGCCTTTAGTAGGCCATAGTTTGGCATGTTCATGTGAAGCAAATAGCATTTCACACTCAGATTACATTTATTTCAGTAGTCAACTGCTTTTCAGCATTGAGGAAGAATGCCAAGATGTAGAGCTGTGCAAGTATGTCAGCTGTAAAACATCCCTATCTATACAGAAGGACAGATCTCTTACTGGCTGTAAATGGATCTGCATCTCCTGAATGTGGCAAAACTTTGCTTTTCCACTTTCTGATGAGACACAGTTTGCACATAGGAAAAGGAACACTGAAATGGCAGAGGACTCAAGTCTAGGACTAATATTGCCCATGGCTTGCTCTGCTGTCATTCATCATCCTGGGTCAGCAATCAATCAGTACTTCTCCCACAACACCAACTGAAGATGGTCCCTGATAAACAGTGCCTTTTGATAAAGTCTACTGGACTGGGAGGCAACAGGCATTTAGTAATGCATACATTTAATATTCTACACAGAACTGACAGAAGAATCCTAAACTGAAAGGATGGAAAAAACCTCCAAGGTTAGTTTACCTTTTTGTTTTTGTTGCTCTTCTTACGGTCCTTATTTCTTAAGTCAATCTTGTAAAAGGCCACGAAGCTCTTCAGTATGTGCTCTTCCCTTCACAAATTTCACTACTCTGCTGTTTGCCCATCGTAAATGATTGAGACATTGGCTGCAACATATTAAAACAGCTGAAACTGGCTGACTTCCAAAAAAGGACTTTAGAGGAGATCACCTAGATTTTAGCTGTGAAATCGTAGCTCAATGAAAAAACCCACAAAGCTACAGTTGATTACAGGGGCCATCACAAGATTTCACCTCTAGAACATGGGCAGATTAAAGCTAGAGAAAAGCTTATTGAAATGCTTTTCCATCTCTTACATTTTCATCATGAATTTCAGCTCACCTTCCAATTCATATAAGGCAACCATGACCAGAAATTTCCCCAGTAACTAATAAAGCAAATTCTACGGCCTGCTTCCCACAGCTGTACTAGGAATTCGGCCAAAGGAAATGAAGACTTCTCTAATTCTCATTTTTTAAAAGACCTACATAACCTTATTCAAATACAGCATTAGTGATGTGCACCTGCATTTTCCTAACCTTCAGTATGTTAACCAACCCACCACTGCATGCTAATGAAGACTAACACAACAGAAATAACTTAGTGTAGCACAGTTACAGACATAGCAAAAGCACCAGAGAGCCCAGCTCAAGAAAAGAGATGTTATGTTGACAGCACACAAGAGAAGCTGCCAATTTCAGGGAATGCGCATGTGCAGACTGCTTTCTGCACAAAAAATACCATTGGAAGGAGACAAATACACAACTCATCAGTGGGGTGCGGAATTAACAAAGCCTCAGTAACCCAAGAAATTACTAGTGCTGATCAAGTATGGCAAGGGGAAGAGTACTCCACTCTTGATCAATTTTACAGGAATTCCATGCCTCTACATGTCCTTAATCTGGCCATGTTACGGAATTACCTCTGCTGTCCTAGTCCTGGGCATCTCTTAACAAACAGCCAACGGCCACCCCTAACACAAGTGCCTGTAAAAACTTTCCGGTTGCCCAAGTTTGGCCTCTCTCCCTTCCATCTTTTTATATATATATATATACACACACAAATAACTATAGATAAAATTAATTTATAAAAAATATATTATTTTATATGTATATTTTATATTATTATGTACTTTAAATGTATATAATTCATATACATTTATATTAAAATTATGTATTTTATATAAATTCAGATAAATACAAATACAGGATCTTATGGGAAACCTTGGAATTTGCTCTAGAAGGAGCACAGTGAAACTAATCAATTATCCCTCTTGTTTATTGATAACTCTAGAGAACAATTTTTACTTTTGTGTACATCCACTGCAGTACAGTTTTGGCATCATATGTAGCACCCTCTCAAGGAGAACTGTACAACACTGAAGTTAAAAGAATTTCCATCCAGGGAGAAGGTTTGAGGTTCATTAAAGGAATGCTTTTCAAAGCCATATCATCTATCAGCTGTCTCTAAAACTGGTAAAACTCGAAAGTTACATTCTTATAGGACTGGTCCTTTCCTCGAATTCAAATATATGGTGTTGCAAATTAAAACCATTCAGCATCTGGTTAATCACTGCATTGAAAAGACAAAGCAAAACCCAAGTCATAGCAGAACAGCAATATTGCTAATTTCCCTAGCTATGAAAAAAACCACAGAAATGATAATTTAAACATTAATGTGAATTCTCTCAAAACGAACACATATTAATTCATTTTCCAGAAAATTTATGATAATTTCATGTTAATTCTTTGCCTCCTGTTTTCAGAGTCACTGATGACTCAGTGCAGCTATCTGTATGCTGAACATCAGCTGTTAAGCACAGTGTAAGATGTAATGTGGAGATTTTCACAGCAGGTTTTGTCTAAATGTGGAACTCCACAGCAAATAGCCATCTGCTAGTCAGCCACATTAGTAAAGTCTATGTGTGTGCGTGTACGTGTATGTATATGTTCCCACACAGACTACTAATGCCTTAGCAAAGCAAAAGTTCAACAGGAGAAAAAAATCTTTACAAAAAAAGACATATTTATATATAGCTTGTATAATATATGTCATATTTACCAAGCTACAGCATTAGTTATTCAATATCAACTACCACCTTAGAAAAACAAAGCACAATTTCAGTTCAATAATTTTGATGTTGCGGAGCTTACATTTTTCCATTATCATAACATATACACATGCCAAAACTCTTCACAACATCAAACACGTAACTGTTTGCATTGCACTCACAGGCTGTAATGTGCCCCATACATTGAAAAAGATGCACAGCACATTAGAAGCATCAGAGATAGTTAATTTGCTTTTCTCCCAGGCATGCTCCCAGCCCACCTCTCGTACTCTTTTTAGGCCTACTATTTTGTTCATTCCTTCTGTGTCTTACTGCATAACTCCAGGTCTATTCCACAAAGACACATTTCTACTGACTGTTCTTTACAAACTGCTTTTCCACATTCATTTCTTCCCTGTTACCTTTTGGGTAACTCATTCCTTGTGCATGTCACTTTGAAGAAGTGCCTTAGAAGGCAGTGGTTAAAGGACCATTTTTGTCTCCCTCCTCCCTATGATTTTTGAGGGCTAAGACAAGGGGCAGAATGTTTTCTCACTGGTTTGTTTAAATGTACATTACAACATGAAATTGACTTTTCCTCAAAACTTCTTTTTTTCTCATTTTTCTTTCTTTTTTTCTCTGATGTTCTGGGTCTTCTTTACACTCAGGACACAGTGTCCTACAAACGTATTCTGTTTGAACAGGTTGGGCTGCATGCAGTGTTGTGAGCCGCCCAACAGCTTGATTTGCTCTTAAGTCTCATTTGCCAACTTTTTTGCCCACACCTGCCAGTTGCTGGTGTTGCTTTCAAACAGAAGAAAATGGAAAACAGCTTCCACTAACACAGATGGATATACTAGCCTTTGGTGGGGAACAGGGGCAGAAAGTGGTGGAAAATATAGGAGAGTCAAGGGAGCAAAAGCCAAGTCTTCCATACCTCAGGATATTGGCCTTCATGGTTTACATGCAACTTCTCAATCCAGGGAAGTAAGATTAAGTCTAATTCCTTTATAACTGGGTCTTTAGAAAGAGTACTGGGGCAGTAACAAGCTTTTTTTCTTAAGCCTAACTGATGCTGTTTCATGTAGCTTCAAAAATCAAAGGACTCGATTATGTTTGCACATTAGTTTCTTGCCTTTTTTTCCCCTGTCTTTTATCCCCTGACTTCAAATACATCAGTTATCCATATTTTCTGTGTTTAGCAGCAGTACATTAGAAATTTGATCTGGTCGTGCTCTCATGCTTACCATTTCTGCAAAATGGCACAGCAACAGAGTGGTAGACACCCCATAATTATAAATCCTCCTGCCACAAGCGCAATCAGTCGAAATGTCAGTTGCATATCTGTAGAGTCAGCAGAGGCTTGCATTAGATGAGAATCATTCCATATATACCGGATGTGAATCATTCCAATATATACCAGATATATATTGACATATAGATGACAGAGATTAACCTCTAAAACAGACATGCATATATCTCACCCAACAACACAATGAAAAAAAGCAGGTCTTAGAAATGAGCTCAGGTGAGAAAGATCAAGTCTCAAATTTGACACATTTGAACAGCCCAAGTTTGCTTAGTTTCAGAAGCAACTAGGTTTTCAGTGAGCCCTGGGCATAGGGGTGGGGGGATAACACAGTCCTTCAGAAACTTCTCTGCATCCTTAGGAACAGAGACAAAACTGTGCAAATGAATGCTATCTACCTACTTCAGTTCACAACTTTTGCAGCATTTTCTTAAAGCATTTTATTCCTAGCGAAATTCAAGATAAAACTCCCAGATGAGAACCATTTGAATATGCAGCCTGTGACCATGTTACAGAAACACAAGTGCCATGAGTTTAATATCTGCTAAGCACTTCTGTTTTGTCAACAGATTGCTACGAGACAAACAGCATGTGCTCCAAGGGCAGTAAATGTCTGTACTTTCTTTGGACATATGTTGTACATCCAGGAGCACTCTAGTAGCTAATTAATCTATGAGCAAATAATTCTGTAAAATAGTCAGCCCTTGATATTTATGTCCAAACAATAAAAGCTTAACTGGAATGAGGAATCAAGTAGTCACAACTGAATAAGCATGTTTAATTTTAACATGTGCTTGAGTGTGTGCCCTTCAAATGAGCAGAAGAGCTGTAATTTTCACTGTACAGCTTTCCTTCTTGCTATAGGACAGCCCCTGGGAAACCTGTTGCAGCTGACCCTGCTTGAGCAGGGAGGATTGGACTGTATGTTCTCGAGAGGTCCCTTCAACACCAATAATTCTGTGCCTAATAAAGGGCCTCTAACTTCCTTGTATTTTTCAGTTTGCTGAAGCAACTTCACTGTGAAAAGCAACTGTCTCTACCAAGCTGTATAAACAGGAAAAATGTTAAGATTTGATACAACCCTTTCAGTGAAGCAGAGATTACCACAGTTATGTGCAAAGGTAGGACATACAAAAAGTTTGCTGCATTCTTTCATCTGAGACAGAAGAAAACCCATGTACACCAAACCTATGCTCAAATTAAAAAAAAACAAACAAGGTAAAATACTATGTTAAGGCTAGAATTTGAGAACAGAGCCACAAAAAGTGTTAGCTGTAAGAGGCTTCTGCAGATCTTGGTTGATCAACCTTCTTCCTGAAGCAAGGTTACCAACAAAATGAGGTCAAGTTATGCCTTTGCCTAGCCAGGTCTTGAAAATCCTCAAAGGATGGAGACTCCAGAACCTTTCTTATTACTTCTGATTGTTCTAGAGTTGCACTACTTTCCTGAAGAATTTTTCCCCCCACCTAATGTCCAAGCTAAATTTCCCAAAATTCAATTAGCGGTAATTCCCACTTATCATCTGGTTCTACCAAGCATTTGTGGCTTGCTCATCTTAGAAACTGCATTCCTAAACAGGCTCCAGTACCTATTAAGCAACCAAGTAGCCTCCTCTTCCCCAAATTAAATACATCCAATTCCCCCACCTTTTCTTGATAGCACTTTCACAGAGCCACTACTACTTTGGATTAATCCCCCCTTTCCACAAATAGTCTTCATTCTTTACACTAACATATTTTACTAGGTTTATTTGCATCATTCTTTGCTTGTGCTGGGGTAGACAAGATACCCAGCTAATTCTTTGAATCAATTATTTTCTGTCTTAATATACATGCTCAGAAATAAATGCAAGCTTACACTTACACTGAAGAGAGTGGCGACGTGAGAAACTTAAGGGAGAAACAGAAATGAAAAATCACATTGTCTGACCAGAAGCAGCATTTGGCTATGAGGTAGTTACCTACAGAAGTATACTTACTGTCTTTGAATGGCATATAACAAATTGGTTCATAGCTGGTTTGGAAAGGACAACAGTTATTTTCCAAGCATTTGGTTGTGTTAAGGCCCGCTCCTACAGGACAAGGAATTAAGGTTTGTCCTTCTCTGTGACGGCATGCTTTAAAGAAAAAGAAATAATACGTAAGATCTCTATTCTAGGAGCAACGCTCAGAGGGAAGTTAACATTTTGATGACCCTAGTATGTTTTCATAAGATAAATCTGCCTGAAAAAAAAACATATCATTGATTTTCATGTATGCTCTTTCCCCAAAACTAATCTTTATATTAAATTTAACAGGAAAGCTAAAATGTCCTCCAAAATCTTCTGTAATTTGCTCTTCTTAGGAAACATTTACAAAACCCAGTCTAAGCATCATTGTACAGCTTTTTTGTATTTAGGTTTGCAAAATCAGTGGGAGAGACAAGCAATTTTCTGACAGGACTGTTTAATCAAAAAACAAATTTAAGATTTTTTTTATTTTTTTTTTTAAGGGTCCAGCAAGCATAGGATACATTGCAGCAAACCATCTCTGGTCGACACTAATTGCATGTTTCTATAGTCACCTGAAAATCAGCTTGTAGGACCAAATGCCCAAGATACTTAATCAGTTACTGATGGTCTCAAACCTATCACCCTGTATATCAGATGGTTTTTCACTCTCCCAGCCTTTGCCTTTACTATTTGGGTGGTGTGGCTGGAGCACTTGCTGGTGAAGACCAGTACAAAAAAAGTCATTGAGTACCTTAGCCTTCCCCATGTCCCAAATAATCACATCTCCCATTTCCTTCTGGAGAGGGCCCACATTTTCCCCTCATCTTCCTTTCATCTGTAGAAGCTTTTCTTGTTGCCTTTGACATCCCTGGCAGATTTAATTCTATCAAGGCTTCAGCTTTCCTAACCTGATCCCTGGCTGACTGGACAATTTCTCTATACTCTTCTCAGGCTACCTTTGTTTCACCCTCTGTAGGCTTCCCTTCTGTGCTGCACTTTGTCCAGGAGCTCCCTGTTTATCCATGCAGGCCTCCTAGTATTCTTTCCCACAACCTCCTTTGGTGGTATGCATCATTCCTGAGCTTAGAGGCAATCCTTGAATATTAACCAGCTTTCTCAAGCTCCCTGTCCCTTACCAGGGCTTTATCCCATGGTACTCTACCACACAGATCCCTTAAGAGACCAAAGCCTGATCTCCCGAAGACCAGTTTAGACAGCTTGCTATGCACCCTCCTTACCACCCTGAAGATCTCGAACTCCACCATATCTCCGCTTCTCTTTTCTATCTGTGATCCGATTACAGATCTTGCAATCTTTATACATGCCAAACCCTTTCTCTATTAGAAGATATCTTTCTTATTGATATTAGCAAATCCGCATTGCATTTTCTATCTCAATTTTATGAAATAATGTAGTTCTTGGCATTTAACTTCAGTAGTCCAGTCTAAGCTAATGGCACTGGAGCCTTCCCTAGCCAACAGTGAGCACCATGGTGCAGAATCCTTCTCTCATTTAGGATGTGCCAAATTGCTCTTTTTGTCCTATGTGTATGTGGGAAGACTAGAGAAGTAGTTTAGATCAAAGATGGATCCTACAGCAAACTGTCCAGCATTTCTAGTGCAATTACATCACTGACAAAGAAGGGATTTGTAAGAGGGTAGTAAAGCAGCAGAAGCAAAATTTCATTGCACCAAAGGACCATGTAACAATACCATTTTGAAGAGATCTAGTGAGTTTTACAGTATCAGATTGGGGGTTTTAAAAACATTAAATGCTGCCAGGTAGGATTGGGAGTGTGAACTAGAAGCAAGACACAAGAAAGGGAAAGGGACAAGAGAAACAATGCTGCAGTGATGAAGTGACACTTACTCACTGGCCTGAAGAATCTTAAGAAAGGCTCAAATGCATCTTTCAGTTTCGTAAGTACATGGGGTGCCACTTCACTCTTTTCTAACGCATGCTGAGGTGGTGGTGCAAAGCCTGAAAGCTCATAAGGATTAGCTCATTACCATCAAAATATCCATAATTAATTAAATGCAATGACATTTTCATACTCATTATCTTTCATTATGAAGGCATTTATAGTCATTATAAATCATGACTACAGAAGACTAGCAAGGTTAAGCATAGATGTCTTTTTGTTGCATTCACTTCTATTACTTCAAATTGCTTCATGAACCACAATGAGTAAAGAACTAAAGCTATGAAACTTTAATTAAAGAATCCATTCAGATAGAAACTGTCAAAGTAAAAAGCCCTACTGTTCATATACAAGGTGCAGGTTACATGAAAACCATATTGTATCTATAGAGGTACTTCGCTTACATAGGCAAGCAGAGATTTTAGCCTTTGCTTTAAAGATCATTCTCCAATTGAAACACAAAACATTGGGAAAGGTAGCTTTATCAGATACAGCCAAATGTGCTTCTATACCAACATCTTGTTTCAGACAGCAATCTACAACATTTAGGTAAGAGCAAAACATCCCTGAATATAGAGGTACTGGAGTATTTTCCCAAACCCTGGTGATTTGTGGCTCTGGGATGTCTCAATTGCCGTTTAGTTTTACTTCCAGGAAAAAAAACGGCCTCAGTAAACCTTGCTGCCTCACTATCTCTTTTTCATTAAACCAAAAGTGCAAATCACAGTGGGACTCCACTGGCAATCAACCATTGTACAATGAGGGAAAAAGAAACCAAGAAACCCAGTATTCCTATTTGCTTGCCTTTTTTTCTCTCAATGAGAAACTTACACCATCACAACTTTAATAGATTTCAGTGATGAAGATTACTGAAAGCCATTTCACGGTTTTATAGCTCCCGCAAACAGAAGTGAGATCATGGCCTAACTAAAAACTAACGGTGTTGAGCAACTTCAGTCTTTGGATTATTCTTCAGCTAGCAGCATCAGGAGCATGAATTCTCTATCCTGGGGCACAAATTGCCTCTGCTGTGCCATACAAAACTGCCTTGGGGAAAAAAAAGGCATCAGAATAGGAAGAATTTAATCTATGTCAAATAGAGAATCTGAAACTTGGTGTAACAGAAATGTGACCAGCAAAGTTCACACTTTCACAGTCCCCCTGTAATCAAGAGAGGAACAGAAAATTTTAAAGATTTTGTAATGATTTCTCAGGAAGTTCATAAGATGAGGTATCGCACAATCAGTTAGGTAAGAATCATGTGAAAATATTACCACAGTGGTCTTGCACATGATTCTAAGTTTAAAGTGATAAAAGCCCCACACACAGGTTTGATGGAACACTGCCAATCAGCATCAGCTGCACCACATACTTATGAATCACATTTATACCTACATTAGAGCTCACACATAAACACACCCCATGAAAACATTTCGCTTTGCAGCAACCAAGAGCCTTTCACCAAGATCTGAAAAGCTAGTCTCTGAAGTCTGGTTTCTCAATGCATAAAGGATCAAATGCAAGCTTAATGTGTGGGCTGATCCTTTACACACATGTCAGGTGACCAAATTCAGCTTCTGGTGTGAGCGCAATTTATCAGCCCAAAATCTTTGCAAACACTTTCAAGCCACCTGCTGCAGTAAGCAAATACATCAAAACCCAACAGATTGAAAGAACACCCTTAACTGTATGTGAGAGATAAAAAAAAAAAAGAAGAGGGAAAACCCAGAAGAACCTATAATCAAAGGTAAAATAAAAGGAAGATACACTGCCAGGGATCAAAAAAGCAGCATGTGTTTCTCATACAGATGCACAAAGAGGGAAACAGACACTGTAGCTGGATAAAAGAAAACCATGCTTTGCTGTATTTAAGTGTCAGGACTGATCAATCCCATCTGAAGTAATTAATATTTTTCAGCATTTTCCAATCATTACCAAAAGAAGAATATTGTAAACTTCTTGCTACTAAAATTAGTTGCTGCTTCTGTGAAAATGCACTTCCCCTTGCAATACTCACTTGAATTGATGCTATAAAGCAGTATCAGTACCATATAGTTCCACGCTAAACCGGTGCAAATTAGCAGCATTACTGCAATAAAACCAACAGTAATAATGAGGTTATGCATTAAAAAAATTATTGCTCTTAACTTCTTACTCATGGATTAGATAATGCCAGCAGACTGCTGTACAGAGCAGGACTCCCTTCTTTTGCACTAAGGAGGCCAAACCCAGTTAAATCTTTTTTTGCAAAAAGTGATTTTAAAGAAATTACTCATAAGAGCTTAAAGGAAACATCCGGTTAGGAGACAGCAGCCAAAAAACCCTCTCTCTGAAATGTCTGAGAGATAAACACCTGGCACCCTAAAAAGATCAATTTCAGCTAAAAAATTTAATTCAGGTTTTATGAACAGAATCAAAATTGAAGAACTAAAAACTGTTAGAAGCTTACAATTGAATTCTAGTTTAGCTTGTCGAAATAACAATTAGAAATCAGAACATACGAGATTCTCTGGGTAAGAGTTTATAAAGGTGGTTCAAAATGATATTATGGATAAAAACTTTTAGAAATTCCCAGTATATGCACAGTAATTTAACAGCAGGTTTAAACTGGGATTTTGTTTTTTTTTACCTCCAACCAACCCCCAAAGATTGCTTTGCCAGATGCTATATTCCACTTTGCCTGCTGCTCCTGTTGTTACCTCTAGAAAGAGCTTCTTTTTATTATTATCATGTGTATTTAGTTAAGACAGTTTAAACCTAGAGATTATTTTGCTAGTATTGGTGAAGGAGAACAACCCCACTTTCTGAAGTGCTACACAAGGAAAAAGATGACATTTTACAAAGGTATTAGTCTTTAAGGGGTCCGATTCCTCTCACTCCTGATAATTGAGGAAAACTTTCCTGCCATTAGAAGGTACCTGTTCTCCAAAGCAAGATACAGACACATTCTGTCCCACAGAGCAACTTTGCTTTGGTAAGTAAATGTGAAATGATTTCTGTCCTCTTAAGAAATAATATTTGCCAAGACACCTATTAACATCTAATGCCATACAGGACAACACCTAATGGGAGAAATAAAACAAGGGAGATAAAGAGACAAAGTTTTCCCCATTACATACTACTTTTGCTGTCGTCTCTGCTACTGTTGGAACAGGAAGACTACAGCTATCCAGAATACTACAACTACAGACTTGTTCCACAGAACGTGGAATCAAAGCTCATCACAATGAGCTCCCTGTTACTATGACGCAGCTCAGAATCAACAGTACAGATGTGATAAATGCATCAACAACCAGACCAGAAAAAAGCTGTACACAGTTTGAAATAAATCAGTCCCCCTTCCTTCCCAAGATAGTTAAGTCTCTTAATCTTTTAATTCACTAAATTTAAACCAAGTTTATGCTATTACTGATCACATTTCAGTGTGCAAACACTATTCAGTTGTGCAGGCCAGGCAGCAGATACCTCAGGACATGAAAATACACTCACCCCTCAGAACAAGATTTGTTAAGAGATCTTAAGTTAGCTTCCCAATAATTTATTAAACATTAATTAATTAAGTAATGGGATCACCCCACAGGTTCACCAAATATCGCCACAACCTAACACAAAGCTGTAATATTTCCATTCCTTTTCTTGAGGCTCTTTGCACAAACTAGGAACAAGGTTTTACAAATACAGAAACCTAAAGTAAACTCAGATGCCCTAAAAACCAGCAGTTCTCCTAGACCTGCCTAGAACAACTTCCGTTTCAGAAAAGAAGTATCCTATAAGAGCCATTTGATCTGATAAGAAACCTTGACAAAAGGCTATTTTTTTGCTATGCATTCATTATATATCCACATGTAAATGTTGTGGTTGGTTTTTTTTTTCTTTGAATAGTGAATTTAAAGGGTGATTCCTTTTAACCTGATTTGCATGCAGCATTAGCTCACCAATATAACGTGTCCTCAATTTGTTTCATTCTATATGCAGACTAGACACAGTCACTCTCAACAGCACCAGTAAGAAGATACTTAGAAATGTGCCTCATACAGAACAAACATTCGTCATTTTCTGAAGCATACGAGTTCACATACAATTAAGATCTTCCATATTGCTTCCTCTCTTGGAACACTGCATATAGTGTGATGTATTTCTGATACAGAAATACAGGACATTTCAGACTGCCAAGACTCCAAGAAAATTGGCCCCCGCATTGACCACTCGATTTTCTTTTTATTACCTTTTGGACTGGTTACCCTCCTTGTTTTAACTAGTCTATGCCTAAGGCTCAGCTTAAGTCCACTAGCCAAAAAAAGAAAGCACATCAAGTAACCCAAATCTCCCTAAACGATTCTGTTACATCCTTTCTGCAGCAGAGTCGAGTTCTTGGTCCTTTATACAGACTATGTTAATGGGATTTTTTTTTTTCTTTGCTTTAAATTAACTGCTTCCATGGGAAATTGGTTTCTTCTGTTCTGTGCAAAAAAAAAAAATTAAGAAAGTCTTGTTCTACTGAACCCTGAGCAGAAACACAAACCAATCACCTATGGGTAAGTTCTTCCCTGTGAGGGTGGTGAGGCAGTGGCATAGGTTGCCTGGAAAAGCTGTGGCTGCCCCATCCCTGGCAACATTCAAGGCCAGGTTGGACAGGGCTTGGAGCAACCTGCTGCAGTGGAATTGGCCCTGCCCGTGGCAGGGGGCTGGAACAGGATGACCTTTAAGATCCCTTCCAACCCAAACCATTCTGTGATTGTTGATCTTCTTTATTACCCACTTCCATACAGCACTCAAAGCACACAAAAATTACTACTTGAAAGTCTACTGCAAAGAAACTTTCAGCAACATGAAGTGGCAACTATTTTTACTTATGGATTAGTAGAAATTATTTACCTTCATCACAAACTGCTCAAGATTGATGACCTCCATAATCATGAAAGCAGGACACGTGGGATACATTTTGAAAAACTGTTAAAAGCAGTAAAGAAGATTCATCCCTTCATGCACGCCAAAGATCCAGAGTCTGCTGCAGCAGACTCAAACTGCTGAAAATTAAAGAGGTATTGTAGTACCACACTTAAGCCTAGTCAAACTCTGGGAAGGAGAACTTTGCAGATCAAACTGGAATCTATTCAGAACCCAACTCTGAAGAACTAACCCCACTGCTCATAACATAGATAAAGCTGACTTACACTGTCAAGGCATTAAAAGCTCTAGTCACCCTATTATGGATGTGAACACAGATGGAAAAGACCTTGACTAGCATCACTTAGGATGAAAATCAAAGTACTGATCTTTAAAGTACCCACCAAAAATAGCATCAGCATCTCCCCCCATCAGGTATTCCACTAAAAATCTTACTGCTTCTGGAAATATACAAAATCTTTAAAAATACACAGCATAACAAAATTTGAGATCCACCTTTCCTCTTGCAGATTAATACCAAATGCCACTTACCGTAATTATACGGCAGGGTTACTGAAGTGACTGAGGAACTCTCACTGGAACCTAATTAATCTATTGCCTTTTAATGTCAACACTGGAGGGTTCTGCAGGGAAACATACTGTAGTTCAGGAAAACAAGTTATTTTTCACAATAAGTCCTCCCACAAAGAACACATAGCCCATGCTTAGTGTCATACAGTGCTCAATTTTGTTTCTGGATTGTTGAAAACAAGCATGGTGTATGGTACTTAATATTATAGACACAAATGGCTGAAAAAGCTGATATAGAGCTAAGTAATTTAAGTAAGTTCTATATTCAAGAAACTAAACTTAGTTGCCTCTTGAGCTCATGAATGTTCATAGAGATTTTTATCTATGTTCCCAAGCTGTATACAAAGATTATTTCTTTTCCCCCTTGCTAAGGTTTTATACCAACTCTGAAAAATCTTAACTTCCCACCTTCACTGACAAAACCACATTTAGTACAGAAAGAAAACACAAACTTCCTATTTCTGTAAGTATTTGTTAATTTATAGGCTTTGAGCTTAACACTACTGAATTTAGACTTTGGCATCATCCACAAATACCTCTCACTCTTTTGAAAGTACTTTATTTTAAAAATAATTTTAATTCATTAGACCATACTTTATAAGTTACCAATAGGATAAACCTGAACTTAAGCATCAGACATTTGTTGCACTTTCAAGTTTTGTAACAACATGACTTTTCAAAGTAAGATTGTACATTTAGATTCACAGTTTAATTTGTTGAAATTTAATAACATTTAAAACCACTGCAATATGAATTGAAAGGGATACATGTTAAGCACACAAATACTGAAGGTCATAACCCCAAAAAGCGTTTGAAAATGGAATGCAGCGAATGAGTCAGACTAGTTTAGTAACTTCACATTTTAACCTAGTTAGCACCTTAGTAAACTCAACCACTGAATGTGAGAAATACAGTGCATGTAGTGTGACAACTCAACAGGTACTGTAGCATTTCATCATGAGATTGTGTTTTCTTGAGCGTTATGTGCCATAGTTTTGAAAACTGGTAATATTTTAAAAGCCTTCTGAAATGTGTAAATAAACAATGGCTGCCATTAAAGTCTAAATAAAGAAATACTTTTTTCTACTTTCTGTAAGTTGAGATTTTTAAAAGCAATCATTTATAAGGATTGCATCAACATCAGTTAGCAGAGGAAGATCAAACTTTATTGAAACTGCTTGCATACAAAATATATTGCACTATAACCAAACAAATGTCAACATAAAATCCGATCTGTTGTAGCTAATATGTACAGAGAATATTGCCCAAGAGCAGTTACATTACAAGGTCAATCTACCTTGGTTAATTATCTACAGTATTTTAAACCAAACAGCTTACAGATGATGTGTGCAAGGTACCAATTTCTGTTTTCAAATACTATACATTCCCAAAATAAATAACTAGAAATCAACATTAATGTTTGGCAATACTTTTTAAGACATTTTTATATTTGTTAAATCATGTGCAGTTCGTTGCCATTTTTAGTATGCTCACCTGTATGCAAGAAAAAAAAAAGAATGAAAAAACCAAAGAAACAAAACTCACAAAATACATCAGATCAAGTTTGTACAAGTCTGTACATAAACAGCGGCTCTCCTTCTGGAGCAATCTGAATAAAAATGGATTAAAATAAAGGTCCTTATACAGTTTTGCTCAGTAAGTTAATGTATGATCCAAAATAAAAGAAAGCACAGCTTCCCCCACCACTTCCCAGGTGTACAACTGTACTTTGGATCAAAAACCATGACACCTTAGAATGGGCTGGTAATTCAGACCTTGTACCTCAAAATATGATGACTTTTTTTTTCTACCTCCAGTATCTCCAACTACTGTATCTGTACTTTCCAGGGCATTACACGTGGTCATTTTCTTCCTACCTCTCCTGAGATGGCCCCTGAACTAAAATAAGCAATTCAAAAAAAATCTGGGAGGATGAAAAACATCAGTGCTTTGAACTGGTCATCTGGCCAAATAGCAGGCACACATTACTAGCTTGTGAACACATTACACTTGTTCCCTCAGTAACAATGAGTTTTTTTTTTTTTTAGTTTTCCACAGTGGAAAGGGGTTTTTTATTATTTTTTTATTAAAAAAAAAAGAAAAAAGAGAAAAGCTCCTGTACTGCCTACAAAGGAAAAAAATTACAACCTTTTTTCAATAACACTATTTGCCAAATCTTCAGTGCAAAATAAACTTCCTATTCTTATAACTGCCTAACTCAATGTTTATGTAAGGAAAAATTATGGAAAGCATGCACTTGTCTATAAAGTACTAACGTCTGACAAGGATTGCTACATATATTTTACATTTAGTGTTACCAACTCATCTTCCCTGATTTCTGCATCCAAATATAATATTCCTACCTGCCAAGATATAAAAAAGGCACAGATCATACAACTTTTTTGCTAATGAAAATGACAATTGTTACATCACACATATTTCAGGGTCCACTAAAATATTGAAAAAGGTGGACCAGAATGTGAACTGACACAGGACATAAAACGACATAGCATTTCATGAAGAACTTGTAAGTTAGATTGAAAACAGAAGCCAATTTGATTACTGCAAACACTATTTATTCTGAAAATTGAAATTGAGCAGTGAATTTGACCCGATGTGTTAAAACAGTACAACTGAACAGAAAGTTTACCAATGCACAGCTCAGTATTTTTAAAACAAACAAAAAAGAATCTTTCATTGTTTGAACTGCAATA